GTGTCCCCAGGGATGGGACCCCCTCCCTGGGACCCACCTGGCCCCACTTTGTGAGTCCTGTAACCCCCTTTTCTTGCCCCCTCCCAGCAAACATGGATGTCGCCAACCCCCTGCCCATCCTGGGCTGCCAGGACCCTGCCCTGCCAAAGGGAGATGTTGCCGTGGCCCCGGCCCCGTGCCGACATCTCAACGGAGGCCTGAAGATGCCAGGTCCACCTGGGAAAGCCATGGCAAAGCGGAGGCCGTGCTGCCAGGGCGATGCCGATGGCGACATTGTCCTGCTCTCCGCCGTGTACCCCCGGCACGAGGAGTGCAACCACAGCTTCCCGCTGCCCGCCACTGAGCTGGGGGCCACGGCCCTGGTCACCACCAAAACCACCCAGAACTGCACTGGTGAGGAGAGAGACTGAGGGCGGGGGGAACGGGGCCGGAGCACTCCGGCTGCCCCCTGCGGATGCCCAGAACCTGTCACCCTGGGGTGGGCGAAGCCTTGCTGAGATGTGAGCTGTCTGAGGACCAGGTTTTGCCTCGAGCAAGATCAGCCAGCTACGATGACTGCCCTTTTCCACTCCCCCATTTGTGCTGGGTCCCAGGTTACTCCTGTAAGCGCTGGAGGAAGCCGAAGCGGATCACGCCAAGTTACACCCAGCTGCTGACAGCGGCTGCGGCCATGCTGTCAGGAGGAGGCAGAGGAGACGCGGCTGGCAGGGACAGAGCGTGGCAGGGGCTGCTGTGCCATTTGCGAGGCTGCCATGGCACCAGGTTTGCTGCTGGATGGGCAATTCCTGGGGACACAGGGCTGAAATGGCAGAAAGAGATGGGGGAAAGGAAGATGGAGAGGGAAGCAGGGAGTTACATTAGGAGCAAGTCCCACACCACTGCCATTAGCTCAATTTTTGCTACTGATCTCAATAAAAGCAGGCTTGGGGCCATATGGAGCAAGGCACATCCAGCGTCTGCTCCATTCACAGTCCTGTCCCCCCCATCTTCTGCATGCCATAATATCCAGGTCTCTCCTCCCTCTGGGTGTTCTCACACGGTGGCAGGTGTCCACCAGCAGTCACGGGAACCCCCAGGAGTCTGCCTTCCCAAGCAGGGAGCAAGGGAGGGAAGAAGGGAAAAAAAAAAATCTGTCTTTGCTCTGACCTACAATCCCTGAGGCCAGGGAGGACCAGGGGCAGGCAATGGAGGCTGCTGGTCTAGAGCAGCTCTATGAGCTTGTCATGACGGCCCCAGACAACCACCACTTCAGCTCACCAGTGGCTGCAGAAATACCGGGTGTCACTTGGGATGATGGGGCTCCTGGTGATGGGTGTTTCCACACCGCGCAGAACCAGGCAGGGAGTGATGCGAGCATAGGCAGGATGGCTTAATTTATGTGAGGGTCTTCAAGGCTTCACCTGTGCGCCAGAGCTGGCCGGCGGTGCTGGCCTAAGGCATCTCTCTGTAGATGGTGTTGTTCACCCACCCTCCGGTGGCGAAAGGCTCTGCTTTGGAAATGAGCTCGTTAGCGCAGGGTTTCTGTTCCCAAGTAATTACAGCAGCTGACCACCCTGGCTGAACAAAGCCTGGCCCATGGCTTGGGTGAGAAACCCTGCTGGCCCTGGAGGGGGTGGTTAGGCAATTATAAGTGCCGGGGCTGGGGGGGGCAGGTGTGCTATTTGCATGAAGTGCCATCTTGGTGGCAGCCCGGGTGAGCTCTTCCTTCGGTGAGGTGGCCTCCTTGCCCAGGTGGCTTCGGGGACCGAGCAGCGGTGGCCAAGCGAGGTGTGGGAGCACTGCCGCCAAGTGCCAGCAGGCCACAGCTGGTGGTAGAGTCATCCGCTGGTCCCTCTGATGACTAGGGGGTGACCCCCTGCCCAAGCCTGAGCTGTCTCTGGGGCTGCAGGACCAGATGCTGCTCCCTCTTCTCCCCTGCCATGGTGCTGGAGCCGGGCTCACGGCAGCCATCCCATAAGGGGAACCATAGGAGCTGCCACAGGTGCCAAGGCCCAAATTCCTCACCGCGACTCTTCTCCTAGACCTAAACATGCTGGCAGAGGTGAGCCTTCATCCGGCTGAGGCTCCGTGTGACCTAGGATGGGATGGGTCCCCATCTCAACCCTGGGGCTGAGGATGGTGGAGGCGCTGGTCCATCCCAGCGACTGTCCCTAAGGGCTCCAGGCGCCCGTGGCTCGCTGGCAAGAGCTGTGGAGGCTCCAGTACTGGGCTTCCCGTTACCCACAGCAGCCACGTTGCCTGTCGCAGGAGGGGCATCCCTGCAGTATGAATTGGGCATCTCCTCATCCCCACGCTCTGCACCCGACCCTGTGAAGTGACTTTGAGCAACCTTTGTGCGGCTGGAGCGGAGAAATGAGCCAAAGCCAGGCTGGGGGATGTTTTGGTGCTGGAAGAAGGACTGCTCGTGGGAGGCAGAGCAACCTGCTTCAGGGGAGATGGGGGTGAGAGCGAAAGCGGGCAGAACTGCCAGGTTCCTCTCCTGCTTCCTGCCCCGCAACCACCGCAGCTCAGCTGTGCGGATGCACCATCCACCCTGACCAGCGTGGTGATTTGAAAAAGGAACTCCCATACAAATCCTGTTGAAGAAGCCCCTCTTCCTGCTCCTGCTCTTATTTCTGCTCGGGCTTCAGCCAAGCGTCTCCTCTATGGGATGCTGCCGGCATCTGCAGTTCACAGAAGTGGCATTTTGATCCACATTGGATTCCTCAGCTGTCGAGTGCCCCTTGGATCCCCTCTCTGTTATGGTGTGCGGGGCATCTTCCATGCGTCCTGCCTGCCCGACCGCCAGCGTGGTGGAGCACGCTCCCCTCCTGCCCAGCCTGCCTGCCTGGGGGGGATTTGCAGCCTCCTCTGTGCACGCTTCGCCGTCCTTGTGTACAGAGCAGGGGGGGTGTCATCCATCTTGCCTGCATGAAGAGTAGAGGAGGACAAAAAATGTGGTTGTAAAAATGAAATAAAGCAAACCCATTGCCAATGCATGCTCAGGGGTCTGCATGGGATCCCCATTCCCCTGGTTTCAGGGGTCTCTGCCATGGTGGTCCTGGGGTTACAGCAGGGCCCTGAGCTGGAGAGGGTCCCTCTGCGCCGGCCTTGCTGGCACGTCCCCTGCACGCAGCTGCCTGCTTGGCCGGGCACCAGCTGAGCCCGGCCACCTCCATCCCCTCCACGGCCTCCCCAGGAGCCAAGGCTGACAGGACAAGGAGTGGGGAAATGGTTTGGGTAGGGGGGGGGATGTTGCCCGCTTTTGACTTTCCACGGCAGTTTCTCACTTCCCCCTGCGAGGCAGGAGCTGTGCTTCCTCCCCAGCCCGCTGCCCGCCCCGCTGCCCGCACAACCACCTAGAAAGGCTGGCAAGGCTGGGCTGTAGGGGCACAGGGTTTTGAAGGGAGATGGGGGAAAGTCTGAGGGAACCTTGGCACAAGAGAAAGGAGCCAGGGCTAAAACCCTCCTCACTTGCAAAACCACCTCAGGCACATCCCTGGCCATTTCAAGCCCACTGACCCCGCTGCGATGGAGGTCACGGGGTATTTGAGCTCCCGCAAGTTCCACCAACAAGGCTGGTGGTAAAGGAAGGCATCCTTACTGTCCCTAGGGATTGGGGGGTGGTTTTCATCCCTGGTTCTAAAGGCAGGAGCCAGCCAGCCAACAGAGTACGGTGGCACAGGGAGGGGAGGCACCAGGAGTACCCTGGCCAAGGGTCTTCTTCTGCAGCCACCAGTCACGTCTGCCAAACCCTCCTCAATCCCACAGGCTCCCCAGCCCCCAAAGTGCTTGGCTTTCCCACCTGGGTCCTTCTCCCTCACGTTCTCCTCCCGTTGCGGGTTGAGTCTCCTGACAGTTCACCCATGGGCCCTGCTGCTCCAGCCCAAAGCACCCCCCACAGAACCCCCACAGACCCCCTCCACAGACCCAGCTTGCCCCTCCATGGGCTTTCTGTGGGTGCTGGACCTTGACAGCAGGCAGGGTAAGGTGGGCACCATTTTACCCCATGCACGAAGCCATACCCTGATGGCCAATGTCCAACAGGGACTGCCCATCTCTGGGTACAGCCGCTGATCCCCCCACTTGCTGCAAGAAGTCCGGGGCTGGGTGGCCACCCCATCACCCACTCGCAGGGCACAAACCTCATCGCACCCCACAGGTGCTTTCACCACCACCCGCTTCCCAGTGCCAGCCATGGCAGGGGGACACATGGGTGCTCCTGCAACCTGCGGGGGACACCTGTGGGAGGCCACGGGTGATGATGAGAGGCCAGCAGGCCCGGGGTGCCTGCCACGAGGTGGCACTGACACCGCAAGCCATCCTGCATGGCTGTGGCACTGCAGGGGAGCTGCATGGGAGGGTGAATGCCCAAATGCAGCAAGGGGAGCCAGGGAGGGCCAGGCAGGCTGGTGGCCAGCCCCGCTTTGGCCAGACAGAAGGGTGACAGCTTGAGGCAGGGCGGGAGGCAGCAGGCTGCTGCTCCTGCCCCAGCAGCACCAAGCACCGATGCCATCGCCCTGCTCCCCGGAGCAGCCCATCCCCGGTGGTATCAGGCCTCCCCAGTCTCTCCCCGGGACTCGGACCTGCC